ATAAAAAATAATTTATTCAAATCTTATTAATTCTTCGACAATATTTGACTTTAGTCTTGTAAAAATAATGACAAACTATATTAATCGCATACTAACCTTTCAGTTAATCGATTAGCGATGGATTTCATAATTTAATGGTGAATGTTTATGGATTGATTACTTTACAAATAAATCGAAATAGACTTACTTACTACTTAGCATAATTAAAAATAATAATTAAATGATAAAAGCTTATTGAGATGTTTATTTTATAAATAAAAATTCATTTATACCCACAAGCTAATAATTTAATTTTCATGTTCATGAATTGATTGAGAAATATATTTAGTAGTCTCCCTGGTTTTTAATGAATCTTAATACTTACTCACTTTAACATTATTATAATAGAACATAATTAATTGGTGAGTAATTAATACATATGATGGTATATGATAATAAGATTTTACACTAACCTCCTAAATAATTTATTTGATACAGAATAAAGCTTATTTATTAAAAATAAAAAAAAAAATACAGTCTTATGTAACAACCCATACTTTTTTATTTACGTATTAGCACGGAATTGTATGTCAGACCTATACAATAGCTTTAACAATAACTACATTATACTCACCGGATAATAATCAAAGCTATTATTTTACACACATAACTAAACATGAACATGAAAATCTTAAGGCAAGTCGTGGTAAGCAAAAGGAGCGGAATTATTTTATATATCAATATGGTTTTGTAGTAAATGACCTATTTAAATAATAATACGAAATTATGAAGTTTGAACAGGAAAATGAATAATTAATAAAAATAAATACACAAATACAAGAATAGATAGACGTCTCTAACGTTCTTGTTTCAATAAGATCCTTTTAGTCAGACACTACTAGTGACAGCAGAGTATTCCGTAAGGATAATATTATAATAACGATAAATACTGTATAGGTGCGCAATAACGCACATGGGTGTTATTTCGAAATTTCCATTTTTTTGAAAATCACATATTTGACTCAAATTAAAGCCCATGCGCGTCCCATAATAACGCGCCTCATACAAGTCTTGGAAAAGTTTTTAGAAGTTATAACTTTTTCTTCAAAATCAGGATAATGATTCGAATTATCGCGTATACACGTTTCGAAATAACACGCAGGGTCTCAAAATAACGTACATATGCGCATTATTACCTTCCTATACTTACTTGAATAATGATCTATGGAATAGTCCTAAAAAAGATATCAAAGAATGCACCCCATATTATTGCAGCTTCTGATATATGTATAAATAAATTAAAGATTTTGATTTGTTCGTATTTCTTAGTAAGCATTGGTCCATCTTTTAAAATCGTCAAATATTCGTAATCAGTTGATGCTAAAATAATGAGCATAACAACTAAACTTGGATATTTCATAACCCATTTTATAAACTTATCACCAAAAAAGGGATTTTTAATTCCCTTATAAATAGTATTGATGACTATACAGAAATTTATAAGTACTGGAACACCCAAGATGAGTACACTTTAAATCATAATTTGTTTTTGCACGAGTTAAAAAGTAAAGGTGGCAATAATTTTAGCATGAATTTAGATAATACTAATAGAAACAGTTGATCAGAAATACCTTGGCAAGTAAAGCTCCGGTAATCACTAGAATTGTGAGCAACAAAGAAAATTGAAAAAATAAAATTAGGGACGATTAATCCAAGTCTTAATATTGCGGAACTTATTGCGTCAAATTTTTTCGATTTTATCTGTTTAAATAAAAATTTTATTAATTCATGATAAAAAGCTCTTAATAGGAAGAATACTTGATAAACTTCACCTTATAACTAAGTATACGAGATAATAGGTATAATATTATATAAGTTACAATCACGGCAACTATTTGAATCCCATAACCATTCCATGGATCAGCTACGTACGGTATGAAAATTAGTCAGGCAATTCAGCTGATCAATATTTTAGAACGAAACCATTAACTTACTGATTTTTTGAAAGCCAAAATTCTGGTCCAGGTCATTTGTCAGACCAGAAGAGAAGGTAGTTATATTCTTGTATTTGATCATATTGTTTAAATCTGATACAGCATTTCCATCTATACGGAGTTGAATTACGACACTTTTATTGACAATTTCGAATATCGGACCTAAAGTTAAATTGGAATTCTGGACTGGCACTTTATTAATAAATTCTTGTTTTAGATCGTCAAAGTAATTTGATTGTCCAGTTTTAGAAAATTTTAAGAATTTTTCGGACGCATCTGGAGCAAGTTGGATTAAGCCTATAATGTCTTTATCTACAAGAAATTTGTGAAAATCATTTGAATTGTTTTTTTAAATGCGCATATATATAATGTGCATTACCTAAGCGTTTAACCCTAGATTCTAAATGATATAAAATTTTAGTAGATAAAATATTTATAATGCTATATTAAATTTTATTTTTGATAATAAAAGACATTATTAAATGTTACCCGATTCAAGAATCCAAATTTCACTTTCAATTCCTTTTAAAGGTTCGTTATTAAATTTTCTTGATTTTGCAAAGTTATTATCCATTTTCACATAATATTTCTTGCCACCCTCATTAAATGTGCTATCAATGATACTTATATTGACAACCATCCCATCATTACTAAGTTTACAGAATTTAGAGGTTGCTGAAACTCTTTGTCTAATACGGTGATTAGAGGCTTCATAGATGGTGATGATTCCAGTTGACAAATAAACGGTTGAAATGAAACGGATACTTATATTGGTCGTTGATGAATTGACTCTAGAATTAATGGGCGGTATAACATCGAGAATCATTGTATTACCGTAACTATTATAACCCCTCACTAAGTAGATGTAGTAATGAATGGTAAATAAGCAATTAGGAAAAGAAAGAGTACTTATGAATAAGCAATTATGTTCATGATTTTAATTCCATTAATTTATAAATTATTTTATACTCACAGCCTAAATTAATAATGAATGATAAATAAGTAAGCATTTACAATTTATGAATAAGTAAGAGCATTTTGGATAGGTATTTATTTTCATGATTTTAATTCTATCGGTTTATAAACCATCATTATACTCACTCCCTAAATTAATAATGAATGGCAAATAAGTAAGTACTTATGAATTATAAATATGTAATAGCATTTTGAATAACTATTTATGTTCATGATTTTAATTCCATCGATTTATAAATCATCTCTATACTCACACCCTAAATTAATACGAATGAAATAATGAATGGTAAATAAAAGAGTATTTATTAATTTATGAATAAGAAAGAGTATTTATGAATAAATATTGATGTTCATGATTTTAATTCCATCAATTAATAAATCATCTTTATACTCACATGCTAAATCAAATAATAAATGGTAAAATAAGTAAGTATTTATGAATTTGTGAATAAGAAAGAGTATTTATGACAAGTATTTATGTTTATGATTCCATCAATTTATAAATCATTTTTATACTCACGGGCTAAATTAACGCGAATGTATTAATGAATTGCAAATAAGTAAATATTTATGAATTTGTGAATGAGCAATTATATTCAGAATTTAAATCCATCGATTTATAAGTAATATTTATACTCACAATCTAAATTAATGCGGATATAATGAATGGCAAATAAGTGTTTATGAATTTATGAATAAGAAAGTGTGTATTTATAAATATGTTCATGATTTTAATTTCATCTGATTTATAAATCATCTTTATACTCACCGTCTAAATTAATGTAAATGAAATAATGAATGGTAAATAAGTATTTATGAATTTATGAATGAGTATTTGTGACTAAGTATTTTATTCATGATTTTGATTCATCGATTTATAAATTATCTTTATACTCACTGACTAAAATAGCGCGAATGAAATAATGAATGGTAAATAAGTAAATATTTATGAATTTATGAATAAGAAAGAATGTATTTATGAATAAGAAGGTGTATTTATGAGTAAGAAAGAATGTATTTATGAATAAGAAGGTGGATTTATGAGTAAGAAAGAATGTATTTATGAATAAGTATTTATATTCTTGATCTAATTCCATCGATTTATAAATAATCTTTATACTCACAGTCTAAATTAATACGAATGAAATAATGAATGATAAATAAGTAAACATTTATGTACATAATTTTAATTCCATCTGATTAATAAATTTTCATTATACTCACAGACTAAATTAATGTAAAAATAATTAGAATTATGAATTTATGAATAAGTTTTATGCTTATGATTTTAATTCCATCGATTTACAAGTTACAGTATCTTTATACTCACTTGCTAAATTATTACGAATGAAATAATGAAGGGTAAATAAATATTCATGAATTTATAAATAAGAAAGAGTATTTATGAATAGATATTTATGCTCATGATTTTAATTCATCGATTTATAATTCATTTTATACTCACGTGCTAAATTAATGCGAATGAAATAATGAATGGTAAATAAGTATTTTCGAATTTGCGATTAAGAAAGTGTGTTTACAAATATGTATAAATGTTCATGTATTAATTCATCTGATTTATAAATCATCTTAATACCCACCATCTAAATTAATATGAATGAATAATGGTAAATAAGTATTTATGAATTTATGAATGGTATTTACAAATAAGTATTTTTATTCATGATTTGATTTCATCGATTTATAAATCATCTTTATACTTACAGACTAAATAATGCAAATGAAATCATGAATGGAAAATAAATATATTTATGAATTTATGAAAAAGTAAGAGCATTTTGAATAAGTATTTATGTTCATGATTTAATTCCAACAGTTTATAAATAATCTTTATACTCACTCCCTAATTTAATAATTAATAGTAAATAAGTAAATATGAATAAGTAAGGGCATTTTGAATAAGTGTTTAAGTTCATGATTTTAATTCCATCGGTCTATAAAACATCTTTATACTCACTCCCTAAATTAATAATAAATGGTAAATAAGTAAGTATTCATGAATTTATGAATGAATAAATATCGATTTATAAGTTACAGTATCTTTATACTCACATGCTAAATTAATACGAATAAATAATAAATATTGATGAATTTATGAATAAGTAAGAGCATTTTGAATAAGTATTTATGCTCATGATTTTAATTCATCGATTTATAAATCATTTTATACTCACGGGCTAAATTAATGTGAATGAAATAATGAATGTTAAATAAGTAAGTATTTATGAATTTATGATTAAATCATTATACTCGCCGTCTAAAATAATGTGTATGAAATAAATATGAATTTATGAATGAGTATTTATGAATAAGTATTATTATTCATTATTTTGATTCATCCATTTATAAAACATCTTTATACTCACTGACTAAATTAATGTGAATGAAATGTGTGTGAATAAGTTTTTATATTCTTGATTCATTCCTATCGATTTATAAATCATCTTTATACTCACAGTCTAAATTAATGCAAATGAATATAAATGGTAAATAAGTAAGTATTTATGAATTTACGAATAAGAAAGTGTATTATTTATAAATAAGCATTTATATGCATACAATCTGGTGTTTTAGGTAACTGAACAGCAAGCAAAGACCAAGTTGTATTTTTACTATTTGTTTCTCGTAGAGAGAATAAAAAGGTATTATTATTTTTCAAGATGTTATATGCGCCAATACCAGTTGCATTAAAATATGTCAAATTAACTTTCGAATAATTAAAATAATGATCAACGTCATAGATATAAATAAAGCAAGTGGCATTAACCACAGCAGAAAATACGTATCCACCGATAGGTGTTGAAGATACACTCCAGGGCACACTAGTTTCGTTGGGAGTATTGAGCAATTGCTCGGGTGCTACAGTTGTTTCTGAGCAAAATGGAATTTCTTCATAGTACACCGTGTTGTTGTAGATGATGGAAGCAACACAATAGTAACAAAATCCAAAAAGTGCATTACAATGAACTGCATTAATTTTCATTTCAGTTCTAGTTACTTGAAAGAGAAGAATAGGGTTGCCCGTAGATGTTTTGTTGTAGGCTATAAAGCTGGCATACAGTCCGCCAAGTGGTCTCATAAAATTGGTTTCATTGACTGAATATTTGGCATACAATATTGCATAACCTTCATCAGCGGTGGCCAATGACGTAAAAGAGGTAAAATTAGTGAATGAATCCAGGGAAATACTGCTATCTATCAACATTAAAATTTTTCCATTAACATCACTATAATTAAGATAAAATAATAAATAAATAATAAATAAAAATAAAAATAAGATTATTAGAGAGATTAAATTACACTGAATATTGCGTGATATTGATGGAGCCGCTCTGCTCCATGTAGTAGGCTCGAAGAAATCCTAGTTCCTTATTAATGTTTATTTCAATTAAATTTTGAAACATTTTATAAAAAGATGATTGTCCAAAAGATATTAAACTGGTAATTTAAAATAATAAATAAGAATTTTAACAATTAGTTCGCTATTAAAATATTTAAGTACACTATTTTGCAATGTAAATTATCATCGGACCTTAATTTTTCACCGTTCCAATTAAGAACAGCACCCCAATAATCTGTACCATTCAAATAACTCACTAATATAAATGGTTGTTTTAAAGGCCGTATTGAAATAGGATTCATCATTTTTCCAGTAAATGTGCCGTTAAATAAACAATAATTCACAGAATCAAGATTTAAATCAGGATTAATTTCAGTGACTGATCCATTTAAATGGATAATTCTTATGCGAAATATAGGTTCAAAGCAAAATGAGTTTATTGGATCATCACTAACAAGGTGGATTAGAGTTGTTCCGTCGTCATAAAATTGAATGTCAATTGCATAAAGTTGTGATTGGGAAAATGTAGTATTTTGTGTACTCTCTGTATAGGTAAAGTTCGTATATATGGTAGTGTTTGGTGTAATGAGCAAATTCGATTCCGTTGATATTGATATAATGAGAACGCTAAGCAATATAAAGGATAGGCACAATATAACAAGGGTACTTGTTTTCATGATGATTCACTTAATAGAAATTTTACGCAGCAAGCTAGAGGTAGAGTACGTACGTACGGTGCAGGAAATTTAAAAACTTCAATATTAATATTTTTATGTAGAGATGATGCATAAACTGGTAGCACATCGAAAATGAAATTCCTAAATTATCGATCTCATATAAACGAACATCGGGATAATTTTTTTATCCGGATCTGCAAAATTCTGTGAAAACAGATTTTTACAGCATCGGGAAAAAATTTTTAGTGCAATCCTGCAAAAAATTTTTAAAATACAAAATTCTACGCAGAATTATATTTATTTTCTGTAAAAATATCCACCAGGTTTGAAGATTTGCGCAAATTTGCAAATTATTGACCCTCTCTAATCTTTCTTTGTCGGCATGCAGCAGATCGTTTCCAATAAAGCTTATTATTAAGCATTAAGCATCATATTCATTGGTTGCGATCTTACTCAAGATCCGCCACATTTCCTTTTAGACTAAAACGGAAAGGATTTTCGTCAAAAAATTTCGCTGCATGATCAGAACGATCTGATAATCCGCGCTCGCCCAAAAATTTCTTATCGTGTACGGGTTTTGTATTTATAAGTATTTTTTTAAATTCGACGACTTTTGACTCCACAGTAAGATGTATGCATTGCTATGTAAACTTTATTTGAAATTATGCACGTATATACTAAAAATACATTGTTTTTATTATAACAATTGCCGATTATAGCTATGTTTCCATAATTAGATGATGCATTCTTAAGAGGGTTTGATCGTGTTTACTAAATATATGCCAAACTTTATACAGTACCGTATAAGCGCGAAATAACGCGCGGGGCGTTATTCCGAATTAAGCTTAATTCAGGTCAAAATTCGAAATTACACCCCTGCGCATTGTTTTGCGTTTATGCGGTAGTAAAAATATAAAGTATATTGTGAAAATCAAGACGTCTAAAGCTCTTGTAGAAACCTTTGATTTTGCTAAATATGTTCACTATATAATAAGAATATAATTAAATGCAATTAAATATTTTTATTTGTTAAATTACTATTAACAATCTTTTTATCATATTGTAAAAAGTTAAGATATTAGTAGTATTTTTAAACGGATTGCTATCATATTGAAAATTAAAAGATAATATTAGATTGTATTCATAGTATATTATATTATAAATATATGATATTATTCATGTAAATAGTGTCTTAACAGAATTACAAAAAGATTTTTAAAATATTATAATAATATTTTTAATATATGTTTAATACATATTTATCATCTAATAACTTTAGTTATATTGTAGCTATATAATAGCTATATAATAGTTATACATATGACAAACATATTTAGCAAAATTTAAAGGTTTCTGCTAAGTAAGTTCTGTAACAGAATTTTTACAGTAATTCATGGTATAAAATCACAATAATAAAACTACCTCAATCTTAACCACATACGGTGTATACTGCAACAATTGGCAAGTTCTATAATAGAATTTTTTACAATTTACAATACAATAATCTATATAATTAAAATGCTAAATAAGATGGGTAGTTTTTAGTGCCACTAATGAGTTTATTCTTTTCAATAAGTACTAATAATATCATATTTTATAGCGGAAATAATCCATGAATATAATTTTTGTAATGAATTATTATATTATATAAAGTTGGGTAGTAGGGTGAGAATACTGAAATATATAAAAGTAATCCTTTTATTAATAAAGTAGGGGGAATAAGTAATAAACAAGAGGATAATAGAATAGAATGAGCAAGAATAATACACATAATTCAGATTCTTTAGTATATATTTGATCTTCAAACTTCAGGGGCAATGTAAGGTAAAATTCAATAAACTCCATCAGTTTTTGATTTTAAAGCAATATTAACCGTAATTGAAAGTCCTAAATCTGCAACATATGCATTCTTCTTGGAGTATATTTCCACTATGTAAATCCCGATGAATATAATTATGAGAATGAATTATCTGAAGATCAGATGCAATGCATTGTAGCAGATTTGATTTATCTTTCCAATCCATTTGTGTTATAGTATGTAGATTATTGCACAAACAACCTTCTGAAGCATAATCAATGATAAGGATATAATTTTTAGAAGTTATATCTTTTAATATATCAAAGCATTTTAAAAAAATTAGATCTTTAAGATCGATATCACAATATGCTTTTAACTTATAATTAAAAAGAAATATACATTTAGATTATTAATATAAATGATAATTACAAAATTTTAATAAAGATTACCTCTCTTATAAAAGTTTGCGTGCACTTATTTCTGCGAGTGATACAAACCGAAAAAGGAAAAAGCCAATCAACAAAATTGATCCCTCTAAAGATTTTCAAACTTCTAGTGAAGGTTTCTCGATAGCTATTTGATAAAATTCAGTAATAAAAATTTCATTTTAAGCATGTGCTATTATAGAATGAAATAAAAAAAATTTTTTAATTGAATTCGAATAGATAAATATCGAGAAATATACGTTTAAAGTTTAAAAAATTCGGGTAAATTTTCTTTTTTTTTCAACTTCAAACGAAGGTTTTTCGACAACTAACTAACCAAATTTGATGGATTTTTTTTTTTTTTTAATTCTGCAATAACATAGAATTAGAATAAAAAAATTTTATCGAATTTGGTTAATATATATTCATTAAAATTAAATTTTAAACAAAATTTGCCCGCAGTTTTTTTTATAGGTTTTGAACGAATATTATTCGACACTTACCTGGCCAAATTCTATAAAATTTTTTATTTTAATTCTATAAAGTTATAGAATGAATAGAAAAAGATCGAATTTGGCCAGGTAATACTTATTCAGATCTTAGCATCTATAAAAAGAAAACTGTAACTAAAATTTTTTTAACAATTAATTATCCAAATTCGATAGATTTTTATTATTATTATTATGATCCGCTTGTGAACGGAGTCACAAGGCGGTACATTATTGCGAGTCACTGGACTTTCCATGTGACAAATAGGTCACAGGACCTGTTCAGGATGAAATGGGTATTTG